AACCATAATGGAAGAACAATTTTGCTGGATAAGTTCATTTTATAAATAACAGGCAATCTTTCCCTAAACAACCCTGTTACAGAGCCGCCAGATGTGCAGTATCAACCTTTTTTTTTTTCACTTCACATACCACTCTTAGGTAGACATACTAACACACATGGAATTGACCAAAGAGACAGGCTGAGAACCTGCCAAAGATGGTCTCAGACGAGATGGTCGGCTCCTGACCCAGCATTGCCTGGTGTATCTGACACTAATGAATGTGTGGTCAGAAAGGTACGTTGGAGATGGTTGAAAATGAGGAGAGTCATGAAACGTATTTCAGTCAGTGAGTGACATGAGAAAAAGTTGAGAAATAGAACTGGTTTCACTGCAAAGCTCTAGAAGTGGTAGTGAAACCAATTAGGAGGCTGTTGTCTGAGTCCCGATAAACAACAACAAGAGACTGAATTAGGGCCAAAGGAGAGGCAAGCCTTCAAAGACATCATAGAGGTATAAGTGACAGGATTTGGCAATCAATGAATATAGATCGTGAAGGAGTAGAGCCTCAGGATGACATCATTTGGCCCGCTGGTGATGCTCTTAGTTAAGACAGTAAGTAGGGGAAATAAATTTTGAAGAGAATGCAAAATGTAACTCTGGGGCTCAGGTGAGATGCCTGGGCTGAAGACAGAGGACTGGGTATCATTCGAGTTTAATTTATGTTAAGATTCTTCACCAAAGCCATGGAGAATTTAAAAAAACATCGACGTCAGTCTGAATTCTAACAACAACAACAAAAATAGTTAAGAAGCAAGTACTGCTTGGTGGCAGGAAGGAGATAGTGTCCAGAGAGATGAGATAATTCATAATCTTGAATGTCAAGGATGAAAAGAATTTCAAAGAATGATGGGTACAAATTAGTGACTATTGCTATTAATAGGTCTTTGCTAAAAAGAAGCCATTGAATTTGATGGTTAGAAATTTGTTGGTCAAAACTGGAAACAACATAAATGTCCATCAGAAAGAGAATAGGTAACCCAATTGTGCATCTTCATACCATGGAGTACTACTCAGCAACTAAGCTGAATGACTCTTAGCATATTCAGCAACATGAGTCAATCTCACAAACATTGTGTTGAATGAAAAAACAATCATTCAAAAAATATATACTATTTAATTCTACTTACACAATGACCAAGAAGAAGCAAAACTAATCTATGGATGACAGAAGTCAGAAAGAGGGGCTGGGTGTGGTGGCTCATGCCTGTAAGCCCAAGTGCTTTGTGAGACTGAGGCAGGAGGATCACTTGAGGCCAGGAGTTTGAGACCAGCCTGGGCAACATAGCAAGATCCTGTCTCTACGAAAAAAATACAAAAAGTAGGAGGGCATGGTAGAAGGCACTCGTAGTCCTAGCTACTTCAGAAGCTGAGGCAGGAGTTTCCCTTGAGCTCAGGAGTTCAAGGCTGCAATGAGCTGTGATCATGCCACTGCACTCCAACCTGGGCAACAGAGTGAAACCCTCCTCTAAAAAAGAAAGTGAGAGAGAAAATGAGAGAAAGATAGAGAGGAAGGAAAGAGGGAAGGAAGAATGAGAGGGAAGGAGGGAGGGATAGAGGGAGGAAGGAAGAGAGAGAGAAAGAGAAAGAAAGAAAGAGAGAGAGAAAAGAAAGAAAGAAGGAAGAAAGAAGAGAGAGAGAAAGAAAGAAAGAAAAGGAAGAAAGAAAGAAAAGAAAGAAAGAAAAAAAGAGAAAGAAAGAAAAAAGAAAGAAAGAAAAAAAAGGAAAAGGAGGAAGGAAGGAGAGTGAGGGAGGGAGAGAGGGAAGGGGGAAGGGGGAAGGGAGGAAGGGAGGGAGAGAAGGAAGGCAGGGAGGCAGGGAGGCAGGGAGGAAGGGAGGGAGAAAGGAAGCCCCTGTACCCCTGTGAGTGGTAGGAGGGAATGTGATCGTGGAAAGAAGTGATATTTAAGGAGCACAGAAAACTTGTTGGTGTGAAGAAGTGGGTTTTTTTGTTGTTGTTACTGTTTTGGTCAGGGGTCAAAGATGAGACATTGAGCACCTGAATTTGCTTGCTTCTAAATTCTCAGTAATTTTCAAAGAGACATTTCTTTACAAAAGCCAAAGTCTATCCAGGGAGAGAGATCACAACCGTAACCTTTTCCAGGCAGAGAAATGGAAACATGTAGTAGAGGACTTGATGAGCACACACACACACACACACATACACACACACACACACACACACACACACACACACACAGAATCTAAGTGGTAACTGGTTGAAGTCATAAAATAACTCACTTTTCACTCTAGAAATTCTAAAATGCTCAAAAATTGGAGGTGAGGGTGAAAGAGGGCTAAAAATTGAGAGTCATTTAAAATTCTATTCTGAAGTAGGTTGAGCCCTGGCTGTACCACCGCAGTCGTATCTCAGCGAACTTCTCTCCCCTGTTATCATCAGTAGACAAGAAGTGGATTTCCTGGAGAAGCAAAAACAGACACACCCTAGACTGGGAGGCATCTGGCATAGTTGAAAATGGGGTGCTGTATTGAAAATGGGGGCCTCTGTGATAGTCTACCCACTTTCTAAGTGGTGACATTCCCAGGCTTCTTCTGCTCCTGAGCTCCAGAACTCTAGAAGTCATTCTCAAAAATCCGAGATTTGAGAACTGTGATTATCACATGATAAAAAAGCAAAACACGGGCAGCACATCCCAACTAGAACAGTTCAGATGACTCTAAGAGGCATGTATCCAGGGAAATTACAACGATAGACTCTGATATGATAGGAAGCACTTCGAGTCAGGGAAGCAGTTGGGTTTGAATTGAGAGATGAGCACATAGAAAACTAAGGAAACAAATAAGATGCTTGTTTACTCCAGGAATAACAAAACACTGAGAATGAAAGGAAAGATAATCAGAGTATTACATATTCTAAATAGCATTCCATGGTCATAATTAACACTATTAATTTATCCAAAAAAACATGAAATTATGACATAACTACATTTGAAAGAGACAAAGAGTGAGTGTATGTGTGTGTGTGAATGTGTGGTGTGGGGTCTGTGTCAGGGGGTGTGAGGGGTGGGAATAAGTAGTAAAAGAAAATAAACTCTCATCTCTCATAGAACAGCCGATTGATAATAATTTGACCGGAAAGATCAATAAGTGACAGCACAAACATGTTATTAAAAGTAAACACCACAATGGCCAGACTCGGTGGCTCACATCTGTAATCATAGCACTTTCGGAGGCTGAAGTGGGAGGATCACCTGAGGTCAAGAGTTTGAGACGAGCCTGTCCAACATGGTGAAACTCCGTCTCTACTAAAAATACAAAAATTAGTCCAGCGTGGTGGTGGGTGCCTGTAATCCCAGCTACTCGGGAGGCTGAGGCATGAGAATCACTGGAACCCAGGAAACGGAGGCTGCAATGAGCCAAGATTGTGCCACTGCACTCCAGCCTGGGAGATAGACAGAGACTCATTCTCAACAACATCAACAAAAAGAATTAAACGCCAAAAGAAACAGAATTATCTCCACAGGCATTCATGATTGTGATTTTTAAAAGCAATCAAGTAAAGCAAAATAATGAGTATTTGCAAAGAGAATTTCATGAATATTAGAGTGCAGAAGGTTACAGAGTGAATGAAAACTGAGCATGTAATCAACAAATTGAGATGTGAAAGACAGGGGAATATTAGGGTAGTTGGTCTAGTTACTTGGTGAAAAGACAGAAGTGAAGGAGAATTGATAGGTTGCTTGATTATGGTTCTTTGGGTAGCTAACTAATTGGTTAGTCAGCTTGTTTAAGACAGGAGTGGGCTCAAAGAAAAGCAGGCAGTTGAGAGAGATTGCAGATGTCAGAGGGAATAAACGAGGTGACAACGTCCCAGATGAAGTGGTGGATGTGAAATGAAAACAAGGTTGAGGCGCTGGCTTTGATAAAGAATAGGACTATCTTTTCCTGTGAACCAGAAGACTAGTGGGATGAATAAGCTCATAGATACAATTTAGGGTGAAAAAGATTATTAAAAGAATTCTTATCTAATAGCTTATATTTTCTCACTGGCAATGGTGGCTATGTCATGTGTTGAGAGAATGAATCTTTTTGGTGGTCTGAGATTGGGAGCCAACCAGAGGAGAAATAAAATGAAAGAAATGCAGAGTAACATCTTGGAGAGTCTAGCTGAGGGTGAAAATCAAAATGTATTTATTAGCACAGGCTGCCATGAGGAAACACCACGACTGAGTGCCTTAAACAACAAATTCATTTTCTCACGGTTCTGGAGGCTGGAAAGTTCAAGATCAAGGTGCTGGCAGGGTTTGGCTCCTGGTAAGGGTCCTGTGACCTGTAGATGTCTGCCTTCTCACTGTGTCCTCACATGCAGAGAGAGAGAGGGAGCTGTCTGGTATCTCTTCTTACAAGGACATGAGTCTTCTGGGATCAAAGCTCCTCCCTGGTGACCTCATTAACCGTTAATCATGTCTTTACTCTAAATCAATCATGTTGGGCATTAGGGCTTCAACATCTGTATTTTGGAGCAACATAGTCAGATTATAGCATGTATAATTAAGCACTGTAATGTGAGTTATTTTCCACCTATACCCAACTGCCTGATGTCAGGAGAAAAGACACGTGGTGTGTTGATCCATGTTTAGAGAGTAACAGGATAGACGATGCAAGGTCAAGGTGGCCAACAATTTGAGGGGCTGGTGAAAGTGTGGCTAAAATGATTGGCCATGGATTCCAAGAACAGTGGAAAGAGAAGGCAGAAAAGGGCTGGCTTTAGATTAGGGAAGAGGCAGGGATTGGTGGGCTTGGCGGTAGAGTCCTTACAGTCAGGAGGCTGGAGAACAAATGGGAACGATTTTAAAGCATACCTTCTGTGGGTGCAGTGCTGTCTGGAGATATAATTGGTTGTTCCTGCAGCTTCATCTTTACTGGAAACAAAGGAGGATTAACTGGAGACATTTAAATTCATTAATGAAAGTAATCATCACATTTTTCTTTCATTTTAGACGACTAAATACGTTGAACAAGTGTGCCTCAATGAAACTTGATGTGAACTTCCAAAGGAAAAAGGTAGGTGCCCACACCTTAATAAGAATGTGGCTATGCCAATGGATGCACCCTGCATTCATAGATTAGAAACAACATGAAGTCTGGACGCAGTGGTTCGCGCCTATAAACCCAGCACTTTGAGAGGCCAAGGCAGGAGAATCACTTGAGCACAGGCGTTTTAGACCAATCTGAGCAACATAATGAGACCCTTGTGCCTACAAAAAAATAATAATAATGAATTAGCTGGGCATGGTGGCTTGTGCCTGTAGTCCCAGCTATTGAGAGGCTGAGTTGGGGCCCTCACTTGAACCCAGAAGGTAGAGGCTGCAGTGAGCCATGATTGTGCCACAGCACTCCAGCCTGGGCAACAGAGTGAGACCATGTCTCCAAAAACAAACAAACAATAAAAAACATGAACCTAAGCAAAATTTTGAAATGCCTGACCATCCATGTGGATTCTCCATATCCCATTTCATTTTATCATAACCAGCTAAATAAGTCTATTATAAACTCAGGCTGAAATCTGTTTGTTTCACCATTTCATTTTGCTTTCTTTTTTTATTAGAGGGTTTGCATAAAGATGTCAAATATCTCAATGCTTTATGGTGATCTTTTAGAAGTGTCCATTGTAAATGTCAACCCCTTATTAGACTCAAATGCTTCACAGCAATGAGTAGATTAAAAGTTCAGAAAGGATCCAGGGGTCCATGGCGAGTATCTTCTGGCTCATTTTTCCCAGTAGTGTTTTATTTCATGCACGTGTCAAGATGCATCCACTATCAGGCAGATTCAGTTGCTAATGTATGAGGGAGCCAGGGAACAGTGTGACAAGATCCTGAACCTGGCTCATCTTTCACCATTCTCTCCACTGCGCTCTTCGCTAGCCACGAGGAATTCGGTTTCATTTGAAAAGTCACTATGCTCCCTCCCTGTCACAGGACTTAGTATGTGCTGCTTCCTCTTTATGGACCAAGACTAGAGATGTCAGTTTTGAAATAAAGCTGTACTTTATTGAATATGTACTGTTTTCTACGAGCTAGATTATGTACTTACCACACATCATCTCATTTAATCCGTTGAGACGGGGCTTCTCTGTTTTCTGTGTAAGGAAAGTAAATCTTGAACAAGCTAGGTCGTTGCCCACAATCTTGCAGCTAGCAGCGGAGCAGGGTTTCTACCTCAGGGATGTCTGACTCCAATATTGAGGCTCCTAGCCACCATGCTATACTGCCCCTCTTTCTCACTGAACTGATTCTTTTTAGGAAATTCACAATTAGGATCCTCAACTACTTTTTTCATTTACCATCTCCACTATGTAGCAAGTCAAGCCTCCATCTATTTTGAAGGATCAGAGAAAAGATCTTTGAATCAAAAGAAAGTGTTCTTTATCCTGGTCCACACAGAGAAATAATTAAAGCCAAAGAATTTTAAGTTGCTCCTAAGTAACCTAATCTTTAAAAATAACTTTAACCTGAATTTTTGCTCTAAAATAACACCAAAAAAAAAAAAATCAAATGAATTTTGGTGGACCTCACCTTAAAAACAATTTGAGATTTGAGCTGGAAACCAAAGATTTAAGCTAAGGAGGTAAAACAGTGAAAAACAATATCCAGAGAAATATTAAAACATGAGCAGTTTGTCCAGGCCAAAGACAAATTAAAAATGTGGGAATAAATCTCCCAACAGCTGTCTGGCTGAATAGACCCCTTGAGAAGCAGACATACTATTTGAAGCATGAGGGTCAGATGTTGTTTTGATTGGAACACATGGTTCCTATTAAAGTGAACACAGCCATGCCTGTGTGTCTAAAGTGTGGGTCCTCAAATGGCCGGTCTATACGGCTGCCCATACCGACCATTAGCTGTACTGCATCACAAAAGAAAATGCCAAAAACTAATGACATGAGTTGTTTTCCACACAGTGGAGTGATTGGATTTTTACCATCACCAGCTTTTGAAAACCCACAGGCAAGATGGGCTTGAATAACATTTGTTCGACTCTTTGTGCCTTACCTTCACAAAGCTCCTCTGTAAATCGGTCACTTCGGTATTCTGACCTTAATGCCGTCTTTATATCGGATCTAGTGGTACGCACCCTTAAAGCCCCTACTTAGCTATAAGCCTCAGAATGCATGCGCTTGAATAAAATATTGCTTTTCACATCATAAATTGGAGAGTCATGGCCTGAATTTTCCAATAAATAATGCTGACGTGGTCTCCACCTACTTATGAATCTCAATAATGACCAGAATCTGTGGCCAGATTGAAGCAACCACTCAGGAGCCGCTGTGTTGTGACACCCACTTCTGTGATCTTCCTTCTGCACGAGCTATAGGCTTTATTTACTCCTTTATTTTACTGTGAAAAAGTAAGAAAAAAAATGAATAGGAGCTAAGACTAGGCCAAATGATCAGAAATAAGAAAGGAGACTTGAGAGTTGAGCACCTCATGAAAAGCTTCAGCCAACTTCAGAATTTATTTATTTGGAAGGAGAATAAGCAGCATTTCCTCTGGATAGGTCCCCATGTTAAGCCGTCCAAGAAATAGAAATAGACACCCCATCTCCAATCTGCAGAGTCCCAGACTTATTTAATTCTGCAAAAAGTCATCCCCAAACAGCTGAACTGTCTGGGGTCACTATCATTTTCCACGAGGCTGTCAGGCCTGTGAAAGGGTTTACGGGGGCTGGCTCATCAGTTTGTGAGGTTAGCAAAAGCTGACACATGGCTTCCTCCCTGCCAGGCACTATTCCTTGTCCTGAACTCCATGTCACAGATGCAGAAATGGAAGGGCTTGGCACTTGCCCAAAGCCACACAGAAATAGCAAAGGCAGGACTTGAATCCAGGTAATCTGGCAGCGGACTGCCCCTCCTCACCTTTCAGATATATTCCGAGACAAACCGGAGCCTGGGTGAGCCTCTAGCCCTTGGCCTGAAATCTACAAGAGTCTCATGTTTCCTCAGCAGTACATTCAGCTCACTGTGTATTGTTTTTATAAGAGGTATGTTCTTGCCATCTGTACCCAAGTCCACAATTTATTTATGGTCTTCATGGCAATTGTATTTAATCCTGTAGGTTTTGGTGGGCTGACACAAGGAAGGAAGCAAAAAATCCAGAAGTAGGTGGCGAAGATGAAGGCCTTTGCATGCCTGGTTAGGCAGACCCCTTTCTGATACATGAAATGCCACTTCCAAAGCACTAGGAGACATCATCCCTACCCTCCCACAACAGAGTTTCTAACCATTTTGCACAAGAGAAAAGTTCCTTTAAGGCTTCGAGATGACCTTCCCTGCCTCTACATAGAGTCAGGTGGAGAAGAGTATTGTTGAATTTAGCTGCACACCTCACTGGAAGACTAACAACCCATGCAAGAGCATTTCAGGAGACAGGACACCAGTGCTTCTGCCACCTGTGGCTCTGGCTCTCCCTGTGGCATTCCTAGTGGCCCAAACAGGCTACCAAACAGGCAGGCCTGGCCACGTAGCTCCAGTTGACATCTAAATTTCTATGTGACTATGGATGAGTTGCCTTTTGCAGCTGTGGATTCGTGTGGGTTCCTGTTTCCAGTGTAAAGATATGGCCAAATTCCATTTTTTTAAAAAAGTCCTTCTTTATGGAATGTCTGGTTGGCATCTGTTTCTGAGGAATATATAATTTCACTGAAGAATGTTCTCGTTTTTAGAAAAAAAAAGGCCAAACAGTGGAGACTCATCTAAATTAAAAACACCAAGACACACACAAAGCAGCTTTTCTCAGGAAAATGTTTCTTCCTTGCTATTACCCACAAAATTCACACTTGCTCTATAATGACATTGAAATCTCCTGATTAAGGTGTTCATATGATTCAGCTTCAATTCAAAGTAAAAGCTGGAGACTGAAGACTCCAATTAGGTTTATTGAATGAGGAAAGAGAAGGACGTATATCCACATAGGACTCTTACCTTTCCTCTTACCTAAGAATATGTCTCAAGAGAGAAAGAGCAGCTTCCAAAGAAGCTTCTGGTTGAAGTTATAGTTTTAATAAGGCTCTCTGAAATCATGACCAAAGGTGGAAAGCAACACAGAAACCATGACTAATTGCCACCTTGCAGCCAGCACCTCCTGGCCTGAATGCCATCAGCATTTCCGAGCCACTGCAGTGTTGACAAGGGGCCCGGCCGCCCCCCCACACTCCCCACTGCCTTGCAACTCCCCGCATCTCCCACCAAATGAGACACCTCCTGGCAACCGCAAAGAGCAGTCAAATGAGAGAAAAACAACCTTTTAGTCCATCATTCCCTTGGCTAGAGAGTATTAACAGCCTTGAATTGCAGATAATTACATGTGAATGTCCTAAAACTGTAGGGCCTTTGTGTAGAAAGGATCTTCTGTCTTGTTTTCCAACCTCCCACTCACTCACTGCAGGATTTGACTCTTAGAGCATCCCTCTCCCTCACAATTTGCTGATCCACTGTTTATTATAAGCTTCTCAACATGATGAGCTTTTCACATGGCAAGGCATTTTGTTTTATTCTACAGACTAGAAAGGCCTTCCATATGATAAGCTAGTAGCTGATTCCTTCTAAATTGGCCCATCTGAGCCTAGCTTTTTTCTCTGGAGAAGCAAAGAATATGGATTTCCCCATTTACTCAGCAGCTCTTTAGCTCTGCCCTTCAGAACTGGAATCAGCAAACTGCTGCTCCTGCTTTCATAAATAAAGTTTTATTGGATCAATAGCTGTGCCCATTCATTTCACAACAATGGCAGAGCTCATTAGGTGAAGGAGAGACCTTATGGCCGATACACCTAAAATATTTATGATATGGCCCTATACAGAAAACATTTTCTGACCCATGCTCAATCTAGAAGAGTTTCCCAACTGTCTGTGGTGAATGACTGGTTTTCTTACCTTATTTTTTTCCAGTCTGCCACAGACCAAGATACTTTTGTGAAATTCAATACAAATGAATTATTAGAAATATGAACTTTAAAAAATTACAGAAACAAGCCTTAATGGTTTATTGTTAGGCTCAACTGACACA